TTTTGCAAGCAAACCCCATTTATATTCAGTATTTCAACAACCATAGTAATTGTTATATAACACCTATCGCCGAGAATGATGAGAATTGCCGAGAATCAAACGAACTATGTTCAATTTGATCAATTTTCTGGAACGTTTACAATTGTTCTATAATCGAACCAATATGCAATAACAAATTTGAATTTAAAACGGTTCGAACATTTGGTTAAAACATGGAAATATATGAAAATATTTATAACAATGTCTGAAATATTATCAATTTAATACACCTAAGTACTCAATGAAGACTAAACAAAAAATCTTAACCGGAAGAACGGCTTCTACTGTACTATTTTACATGCGATTTTTTGTTACGTTTAGTCTTCATTAAGTACTTAAGTGTATTAAATTAATAATATTTCAGACATTGTTATAAATATTTTTACATATTTCGATTTTTCAACCAAATGTTCGAACCTTTTTAAATTCGAGTTTGTTATTGCGTATTGGTTCGATTATAGAGCGATTGTAAACGTTTCAGAAAATTGATCAAATTGAAATAGTTCGATTCTCAGCAATTCTCATCATTCTCGGCGGTAGCTGTTATATAACAATTACTATGGTTGTTGAAATACTGAATATAAATGCGGTTTGCTTGCAAAACCACCGCGGGCGAAGTCGTGTGTAACAGCTAGTAGTTAATAAACGGATAATTGTTATTGTTAAAATTGTTTGGTGTACTTCCTTAAAACGCGCCGTCTCTGTCGTCCCGGATCAGACCGCCTAAATAAGCGACCACTATCGCGATTTTTGTCACTTGACATAGTGGTGTCATTCTGACGGGGTGCTAATAAGGTGGTCCAGAACTTGTGGTTACTTTCAATCCATCGCAGTGGTTTTTAACTTTAGCAGCTAATTTTTGACATCGTGTAGTTTGTCATCAAACATCTACTTGTTCGTGTACTTTGTTTGAACTTTAGTATTTTTAAGCAAAACAAAAAAAACCCCCAAATGAGTTTTTCTTCATACATTTTATATCTTTCAAACATTTTTAAGTCTGAAAATTCAATTTCTAGGAAAACTTGTTAAAAATTGTTAATAAAAATGTTTAGAGGCTACAACCCATATTTTAAAGTTATAAACCACTGCGCGTTGTATCACTCTCTATCCTATCACGTATTCTTCTATATTAATCAATGACACATGTACATAAACTAGTAAAATTACACCATGTTAACTCAACTTTCGTTCATTAAAAAAATAATTCTACAAGCCATTCTTTTTCGGTACATAAAAGCAATTGCTTTATATACAATATCAAAGTTACAAAATGAAAAAAATAAAACTTCAAAAATTTCTTCTTTTTATATTCAATAAAATCGAACTACGAATATTAATACGAATAAATACTTTTGTTAACATTTTCCTTCATTCATTGTTATTATGACATTTGATAATATGATTATTTAAACTACTTTTAAAACGGAAATTTTGTAAGCAATAAGTACACGAGTATGGCTTTTCCCCTGTATGAAGTCGTAGATGTACAATCAGAGTCCGTTTCTGTGTAAAACTCCGTTTGCAGTGATCACAGGTGAAGGGTTTCTCCCCTGAGTGAGTTCGCAGATGTTCAATCAGATTTCCTTTCTGTGTGAAACTCCGTTTGCAATGATCACAGGTAAAGGGTTTTTCTCCGGTGTGAGTGTTGACATGGGTACGAAGACTGCTGGATTGATTGAACCGACGGTTACAGAATTTGCAAGACAAGAGTCCTTCTCCACTGTGAATCCTTCGATGACATACAAATCCTCGCTTCGAAATAAATATTTTCTTGCAACTATCACATTGATACTTCCCATTCTTTCTCTTCTCAATGTTTAAACCTGTAAAATAGGATAAATAAAAATAGTAAAACCAATGTTTAAAGAACAAAACTCTCTTCAATTTATTCTCAAGTAAATATCTAAATTTAATTCACACTGTTTTAAAAGTACTGTTAATGTTTAGAATGCAGATAGAAAATGAATTTTTGTTTTTGTGGTAATTTTCTTTGTATAGGTTAAACCTTTAAATTTTATTCAAAGGAAAACATTACACTAGAAATACTAACTATTCACAAATATTACCCACACACTAAAACAATATCACAAATTAATAACAAATGTAATTTATACATTTTTCTTGAACACAATTTATATAGAGTGTATTTTGTAAAAACAAAAATATATATTTGAAAAAAAATTTTTTAAATATCTTCAATGATTTTTCTCTTCTTCACTCGCATGAACGATGTTTTCCTTGTTGATATATTCTTGTAATGATTTCACAACACTGGCTTCAATTTTAGTGTTCCGTTAACGACAGAAGTCCAACACATCCATCGACTATTCTTGTGCTTTCCTGGAAACTATTCTTCATTTAGTAGTAAACAGGAATGTTTTTGATTGGCGGGTAGTGAATCTGAAAGTAAGAAAAAAGTCCCGAATAAAATCAGATACGAGAATATCGTTATACATTATATTCTAAGTTAAATTTAAATATTTCAAAATTAAACTAGTAATTTTAGAAATTTTTCCTTGGACATTCATTTCAGGCGATAAAATTACGACTCGGTTTAAAACCTGAAAATGAAACGAATTCAAAATTGATGTTTCTTATTTAGGAACAATATATTTATACGTATGAAATAAATTCAAATTAGTTTTATCTGTAAATTTTAAAAATAAGAAAATTAGGTATAAATGTATTTTATGAAGAATTAACTTCCCTTCGGTTTTCCTATTTTACAGCTTTCATTGCAGAACTAAATTATACAAACTGAATCATTTCTTGAAAAGTTTTTTTTTAATTAAAATTACCTTAGGAAAAAAGTAAAAATCTACTTACTAACTTAATAAAGTTCAGACAAGAAAGACACAGAAAATACCAGAATACTTGTTACCACAGTCCACGAGAACGAGAAGAATTCCATACATCATCAAATGTTACTTGAGAAGTCTTCTCTTCCTCTTCGTTAAAATCTTTCTTCTGTTTTTTTTTCTTTCTGGTGAAATCGTCAACGAGGTTTTCTCCTTTAATCAAGACTGTTAATTATGTTAAATTTAAAATAATCTACACCCAGATTATCGATTGTCGAAATATAATGGCGAAAGTCAAAGGGTCGACAAAAGGACTAACCTGCCTGTGTGGACGAGAATTCCAAATGCTTGCATGCATTTTTGTCTTACGGCTGAAAGGACAACACAATCTTCACCCTCTCTGTCTTCTCGGACGCAAACAATCGTGAGTTATCAACAGAGTAAAATAAGACTTCTGTCGATTTTTTTTCTGTAACCAAAACAGAAATACGTCACTAGTAACGAGCGAAGATTCGTGCATTACACCTATTTATTTCCTCTTCTTTTTGGTAGTGACGTGGTAAGAACCAATCCCAAGACAATGGCTTAAAAACGAACACCAATTAATTAATTTAAACACTGAAATGAGACGTCTCCTTCGATTTGTCCATAAATAATTTAGCTCATCGGAAAACAATTTTGAATCTATTCAGTACTTATAATAAGAACATACTTTGCCATTTCTCTAACCGAAATCCAGCAAGTGCATTGTTGAACCATAGACTAATTACCTAGCTTTGCTAGGTAATTAGTCTATGGTTGAACTTCGTTCATCCTAACTGCCAATTTAAAAAATAAAAGTGGCGCCATCTAATATTTAAAATTTAATAATGTCTAAATATTTTTTCAGAATTTGTGGGTATAAAATTTCTGAAAATAATTGTGAGAATCCAGATTAAAGGGACGTCATTTTTAAAGAAATTAGGAAGAGAGAGAACGATTTAAATTTCAATAGAAATTAAATTTTTGTAATTTTAACAAATTTTCGAATCAATGGATGTTAAAAACTTTCGACTTTGATAGAAGTTCATTTCCTTTCTCTGATGACTAGTAAGTTGGTTTACAAACGGTTGCACACGAGAATTTGTCGGCTGTAGGCCGTCGACATGGATAAAAGGGACAATTTTCCCACCATTCGTGGGATTTCGCGATACGATGTAGGACTGATAGCCATAGTAGTCGGGGAGTCCATAGAGACAGAGAGCCATACGATTCAACGCAGTTCTCCATACAAGAGAAGACCACAGTTCGCCATTTTACGCATTCGCCAAATGATAAGTAAGAGAGAAGAAGACCGCTCCAAAATATTGATCATGTCGAAAGAGCGCGTCTTTAGAAGTAACGATTACTGAATGTTCCAATACAAGAATCGGAAAAAACTGGGAAGGGAGTATGTTAATATTTAGATTGGTGTAAACTCTCTCTCACGCGTTAGATTTAAATGAAGGAAACTAATTTTTATTTATATAAAGTGATTTATATCGAATTTCGTGTATTAGAATTAAGCAATTTACATACCATAACGCTCGTTAGAGGCAAGCCGTCAAGTAAGCGAGAGAACAAACGAATGTCTCAACGAAGCAAATTTTACTATAATGGAATTAAAACACTTTATGTCTTTCCCAATTTACATTTTATTAAAAAACTAAAGATATACACCTCACCCAAGTCATATACGAGTATTGCCGCCATTTGCTATATTTACACTGCTGGCCATTAAAATTGCAACACCAGGAAGGAATGATCGTACGAACGTCAAAATTATATGAAAGGAAGAAGAGGTTGGAATATGCAAATGATTAGTATTTCAGCGTATTTAGACGACGCAGGAGGGACAAACGACATCTGAATCACTGCATAAAAGAAAAGTTGTGCAGTGGATTTCTCATTTGGAAATCGCTTTGTAAGGTCGGGGTTTCATCAGAATATCGTGTTATGCCTCGAATAAGAAGAAGAAATGCTTACCAGCAAGTGTCGGAATTCGATAGAGGCAGGATTGTTGCCTATCGAGAGTGTGGATTATCATTCCGTAATATTGCCACTCGCACTGGTCGAAATCCAACCACTGTCATGCGAATATGGAATCGATGGGTTGCTGAGGGTCTTACTGAACGGCATGCAGGATCTCAACGCCCTCCCATGACTAACGCCCGAGAGGATAGACATATTGTGAGGTCGGCCGTGCAAAACCGTACAACCACATCATGGACCATTAGTCAGGAAATGTGCTTGTTTGCAGCATGTCCAGTATCTGCTCGTACGGTGCGACGATGTTTGCAGCAGCATGGACTGTCAGCACGGCGACCATTACTTCGGCTTCCCTTGACAATGCAGCATAGAGAGAGACGGCGACTCTGGTGCGCCCAACGACAAAGCTGGATACAGGAGTGGCACAATGTTGTCTTTTCAGACGAGTCCCGGTACTGCTTGCAGCATTCTGATGACTGTATACGTGTCTGGAGGCTCCGAGGAGACCGCTCGTCACCTGCTTGTATTCGATATCGGCATAGGGGCCCTGCACCTGGTGTGATGATATGGGCAGCCATTGGATACATGACATGCACATCTCTAGTTCGGATTGACGGTAATTTGAACGCAGATCGGTACATTTCTGACGTCTTACGTCCAGTGGTTGTGCCCTATCTTCGAGGCCTGCGAAACGCCATCTTCCAACAAGATAATGCAAGACCTCATGTTGCACGTCGTGTTCTGACCTTCCTCAATACAGAGGGTATTCGATTGTTGCCCTGGCCTGCACGGTCTCCAGATCTCTCACCAATTGAAAACATCTGGTCATGGGTTGCTGAGAGACTGACCCGCCACCCCTCTCCTGCTAATACAGTCAATGAAGCGTAGCATAGACTTGAAGCAGCATGGAATAAGTTGCCCATTTCTGTCATCCAAGCCCAGTTTGACTCCATGCCTAACCGGATAAGGGCCGTTTTAGCTGCCAGGGGTGGCGACTGTGTCTACTAATTTCGCACCCCTGTAAACCCTCAAACGGCTTGCAAATTTAATCATTTTGTCTTCATGCCATACTGTTTATGTACAATAAATATCTTTTTTTTATTTGCTTTCCTTCTTGGTGTTGCAATTTTAATGGCCAGCAGTGTATTTTTTCTTTTTCTTCGACCTACCGTTCTCCTTATTTACTTTTTCTCAATTAATCGACTGGAAACATTTATAAAATGGGAGAGACGTTACCCATAATAAATTCATCAGTGTAATTAATAATCTATGATAATCTCTATTAATACAGAATTTTAATTACAACAAGAGTAAATTAATAAGAGAATCATTCATAGAAATTATATTTCTTACCATTAATATTCTCATTCATAAAGACGAGTAATTTTTATTATACATTTGAAAATATGACGAATAATCTGAACGTGATGAATAAAAGATATAAAAACAGCCAAAAATCTCGTGAGAAAACAGGAATAAAATGCAATTATATCTCTGGTTTCCAATTATTATTGTGCTTAAATCAGGCGCACTTAATTATTCTCGGACAACAATAAAATTCTATAACATTATTTCTGTGCATTTTTGTTTTCATTTTGGCGCAAAATTTCTATAAATTACTATTTGAATTAAATTAATTAAAATCATTAATAGTGAGTATAACCGTTATTTTGTGAAACACTTTTAATATGGCAATGTTTTTTTAAAATTCCTAACAGGACACTTTCAATTTTAATCTGGTATCGTACCTAAAGTACATATTATATAGATTTTACCATAATTTAATATACGATTATCATTTATATTATAATAAATAATTTCTATTTAATTTTTTCACTAATTAATTATTTACTCAACAAAACTTTTGAAACGAGAAAAGAACATCAATGCACGACATGCGGTAAGAAATTTTTTTATTAATCAGATTTACAAAAACACATGCGAATTCACACGGGTGAGATGCCGTTTGAATGCGAATTTTGCAAAAAAGTTTTTCGGATAAGAGCAATTTGATACGCATCTGGAAGTGCATTAGGATAACAAGCCATTCACGTGCAATTACAAAAAGTTTAAACGATAATATAAATTGGAACATTGCACTCTGATGAGATTTTATCTGAAGTAAATATTACGCCAAGGTTTTATATTTTCATTTTAATATTTCAATTCTCAAAGCGATAAAAGATATACAATAAACAAACAAAATATAATTGTATAGGATAATATAAAACATTTAATTAATATTTCAAACAATACTCGAAACAACTGTGCTAACTTTTACAGGAATAAATAATAAAATAATGATAATTGCAGTTATTTTCTAATATCATTATTGTTCTTTTGGTGCCGAAAAATCTTCGTCGCTTTTTATCGGTTTTGAGGTTGGTTCAAAAATTGTGCATTGATTAAGTTTCCTTGTATTTCTACACAAAACTGTTCTCCTTATTCACTTTTTCGCCATTAATCACATGAAAGCATTTATAAAATTGAAGAGCCGTTACTTATAATAAATTCATTTGTGTAGTTAATTAATAACCTATGATAATCATGTTAAGATAATCATGTATAATATAAAATTCTAACTACAATGAATTTAAATTATTAACAGAATCATTCTTCGCAATTATTATTCCTGCAATTGATTTTCCCATACATAAAGACGTCACTTGAGAACTCATACCGGAGAACGACCATTTTCATGTAATTTTTGCAATGAGATGTTCACATACAATACTCAATTAAAGAGACACCAGAAAAAGTTCCATCCGAAGGAGGAAGCACAAACTTGTTTCAATGTAAGTTTACAAATATTTTTAGGGAGGAATTTTAACAAACATTCTATCGTTAAAATAAAAATTTGTAATGATGTTACTTATTAAAATAATTTCACATCGAAACAAAGAAGTTTTATAAAGTTTTTATAGGTTAATAAATTTTGTGAAGATAGTGCTTTAATGTACATATTTTTAAGTGTACAAAAGTATATATATAAACGGGAATGTGGCATAAATTTATAATTAAATGATTAATATTGATTACTGCTTATTTTTTTAGATAGAACGTTGAATAAGAAAGATTTTATTCAATTCATCTTGACACTACAGAAATATAATCAGCGAGAAGTGTAAATACAACGTGTTATATTCTTTGGATATTTCACGATTAGTGCGTGTCTCCATCATCAAAATTAGTTCAGCGAATTTTTTCTTATTCATCAACATTCTTTTACCTGTAATAGATTTTAAAATTGTTATCATAAATGTTACGAATATTATCGTACGTGCTAATTACCACGCAGATGTGGACTGTACATTTTTGGTACCATAAAATCAATGTCAACCCATGCAAATAAATTGCGATTTCGACGTTATTTTCTGACATAATTTGCTTCGATAAGATTATTTTACTAAAAACCATTTATATTTCTTAATTGATTATTGTTAGGGATATTAGTTACACAAAATTGATAAAAATTGTGAATTTCCTTTCAAATTTTAATAAAATTGTAAAATATTTCATCTTATTTATATTAAAAATTTGTTAGCTCTTATAGCATTACAAATACATAATACAGTTTATAATTATCTAAAATTACATATTTGTATGCTATCTACATTATATTAAATAGTGTATAGTGACGTTATTTATGTTATTTACGTTCAGACAAGTACACAAGACGTTCAAGAAGAGCAGAAAGAATCGATTGAAAAACCATCAACAAGTTTTCAAAAACCAGATTCAATAGAATTTGAAGAAATTTTTTCACAATTCATGCGTTTTACTTCAAAAATGTGAAGAATTTCTTGAAAACGTTAAAGTCAATTTAGAAATTAGACGATTGAAAACATCCTCACCTGTGGAATTCTTCCCACAAATGGACGTTGAAGAAAGTAAATTGGATTGTCCGTTGTGCCGTGAACAACTTTTAGACGACGTTTCATTAAAAATACATGAAAGAAGATTCCATTCGTCTGCCTAATTAATCCTGAACAAATAATTTTGAAAATGTATTAATTTAAAAATAATATCAGATTATCAATATTCCGATATTTAATAATGGAAGCAAAATGAAATGTTCAGCAGAACAACGTCAGTAATAGTTTGCGATAAATGTGAAATCGTCGTAGAAAGTATACAATTAATTAATTTATAGCGATTTTCAAATCGCGTCGATTCGTCTTTTGTTTGAGCGGCACGCAACTCTTGATTACTCACACCCCCACACTATTGTTCAGCTTACATGTTCGGACGTGTCGCGCGGAATCGACACATAGCTACAATTTATTTTGAGTTATTTTTTTCTGTGTTTGTTATATCTACGGAGACCCGAGAAACAATATGTGGTGATTTCTTGTAACCGTGAACGATTCAAAAGACGAGATAAGATTAACGAGAACATTTATTAGCTTACATAATACATCCGATTTGGATTTTACACAAATTGCGAAATTATACCCCGACTTACGCGAATTCGACTTACGCGGTTATCGCTCGGTCGCACCTAGCGCGTAAATTCGGGGTATTACTGTACTTTATTTACCATATAAGCTTGATATTCGGACACTTGAAAAAAGCTAATAGCTTTCTTCAAGTGTCCGAAATCAAATAGAAATACAATTAAGCACAAAAAAAAAACAATAAACATTCAAAATTAAACATAATTTAAGAATTTGATAGAGTCTATAAATTGTTTGCTGGTTTCAAATCTTTGTATTCTTTTTTTACAGCGTAACAATTATATGTAATTAATACCGTAGTAAAATATTCTTGAGAGAAAAATGTCTGGCAATGCTTACTAATATATGAATCTATTCGATAAATAAAAACATCATACATTATTATGAAACTATACTTAATTGTTATTTTATTCTGGTACGATTATCTCCACATTCCGAGAACTAAAGAATCATACAATTAATTATTACAGTATTTGTTTGTTTATTCTATGAATCTGACGACGGTAAGTACACTTTTGCAATCAATAACCGAGTCTTTATCGTATGTTCTAATATGCTTCACAATAGAAGGAAATGCACTTATTTTCGAGGGGTCAAACAATGAAAAGAAGTTAAGGTTTTTCCATATTCGATCGATGCATTTCGATGTTAAGATACTTGTTACTATTCATAGTTTAGTTCAAACAAAGTATGAATGGTAACAAGTTCATAGTTTGGCTCAAACATGTGTGCGAACACATGTGTATTCGCACACATGTTTGAATCAAACAGTACAGCAAAAAAGATGTAGGCCCAAAAAAGCATTATTCAGTGTATGAAGTGCAAAGATTGTGTGCATGACGTACGTTTCAAATTGTTACTCAGAACAATATCTTTTATTGTTCTGAATGTACTGCAAAAACGGCAAAGGGGAAAAATTATAACATAAATATTAATTTTCAGCTTTGCAACCATACTTCTCCTTGAACCCAAACACTTTGGTTTCCCGGAAGCTGCCCGCCGAGTCATTTGAGGAATTCAGGCAGATTGCTGGTTGGCATCGTTTACGGTTAGACCTAGTTCTAACCATTAATAGTAATGTTTATAATAGTTCTGCACTTACTCAGTGGTCTATATTATGATCAAGGTGATTCATATTGTATATCAACATAAAGTTAAAATTGATATCAAACGTCAGCCTTTTATTAGAGGATCTGAGGTTTTTCACATTAAAAACAAAAGTAACATTTTTGTGAATTTTTATTATCTATTATTATTTGTCATTTTAATGAATTTTTTTTCTTCACGCTGATTTAACTGTTAAGTCTGTGGTTGTGTAAAAGAATAAAGGAAAGCCTGGAAAATATTTTATTTTTTTGTAAATGACCTTAACTTCAAATAGAAGATATTCTGAGTCATAATCAATTGTATATTTAAAAATTAAGTGGTCAATAGACTGACTTTTGTCTGTATCATACCAGACGTATGAATTCCGTAAAACATCCTAAAAATTTAAATTAATGCAAGTCTCCGTTTATTACTGTGCATATCGCGATGGTGAAAATAAAACATATAAGCCTCCGAACCGGATGAATTAAGTATTTCCATTTGATACGACTGAAAAAATGTCTAGGATCAAAATCATTGTATTGTCTCTAACACGAGTTAAACGATAAAAATAAACGAATAGAATAAAATAATATCTTTATATCTAAACGGAAATACTACTGGAACAATAGACAACTTTCAATCTGTTCCCAGAAATAAAGATCGATCGACATGAATTGAAATGTGTCTTGTGTCAAGTTTTTCTGCAAGAACACATGAAAAGTATCTATCATTGGATAATATTTTCTTTAATGTTGAAAGCATTTAAATACTTCCTGATTTACAATTATTTTTGTTAAATTTTTTTCATTTCATTTCGTTGTAATCGGCAAAAAAAAATTTAAATAAAATTTTTGTCTTTTTGATTTTATTGATTTTAATTAAATCATAAAAACTGATTTCATATAAAATAATTTGTTATTTTTTCATTTTTAAAATATTGCGTACATTAATTAATTTAGAAAAAAATCCTTCTTGGGAAAACATCAAAGTGAACTTCTGCAAGAACCCGAAAATGTAAAACCAAAACTCGTTGGATACTCGAAGAGAGTAAAATGTCAAATTGCATAAAATATAATTTCAAAAGTACTTTTTATTGTACATTTGAAAATATGACGAACAATATGAATGTGACGGCTAAAATACCTGAAATCAGCCAAAGACAACGACACGAGAAAACAGGAATGAAATGCAATTATATCTTTGTGTTTCCAATTACAGTATTAATGTGTTTAAATCATGTGCATTTAATCACTCTCGGATAACAATAAAATTATAACATATAATTTTTCGGCATTGTTGTTCTCATTTTCGACAAAATTTCTAAAAATTACTATTTGAATTAAATGAATGAACATCAAAAATGGTGAGTAAAGAGTTTCTTTTGTGAAACACTTTTAATTTGGTAATGTTTTCTTAAAAATTACCGACAGGACACTTTCAATCTTAATTCCGTGTCGTACCTAAAGTGCATACTATAGATTTTAGCATAATATTTTTAATATTATCAATAAATTATGTTTAAATTTATCACTAGTTACTTATTTTTCTCAACGAAATTTTTTAAAAGGAAGAAAAACATCAATGCCCTGAATGCAGTAAAACATTTCGAAAAAAATATCATTTAAACAGACACATGCAGACTCATACATGTAAGAAGCCGTTTAAATGCAACATCTGCGGAAAGTGTTTTTCTGATAGCAGCAATTTAAAACGGCACCTGAAATTGCATTCGGATGAAAAGCCTTTCAATTGCAATTACGAAGGCTGTGGATGGAGCTTTAAACTTAAACATGACCTAAAACGACACGTGTACAGACAACATCCTCAAGAGATTTTATCTAAAGTAAATATTACGACAAATTCGTATAAAGTAGAAATACCAGGAATATGTTCTTTATTGTTTATGGTGTCATTAAATTACTTCATGTTATTTTGTTAAAAATACGAATTATATTATCTGTTTTTAAGATTAAATTCAAATTACAGGCGAAATCAGTTCCAAAAACCAGTTGCACCACTGTGCGTAATTGCTAATATCAATAATAATATCTAAGTAAATTACGCTGAATCTGTTTAAGCTATATTTTTATATAATAATTTCCCATACACATAGTTTAATAAAATTCCGACATCACAATGAAATAAATCGCGGAAATCGATTCATAACTTTTTTAAATAAATAGTTGACATGAAGTATTTGCATTTAAAGATGTACAGTACGTTTCGTGTTTTATATATTGTGAATAATTAACTGAAAACTCATTGAATAATTAGAGTTCACCAGACGACCCAAAGATAAAAAGCCGTACATGTGACATCTGTGGAGAATTTTTTGAATCTCCATTTGCTTTAAGACGTCACTTGATATCTCATACCAGAGAACGGCGATATTTGTGTCATTTTTGCAACGACGCATTCAGAGCCAAAAGGTCCTTAAACAGACACACCAGAACGTTCCATCCGAAAGAGAAAATTCCATCTTCCTGCCAGGTAAGTGTATATGTTAATGACTGAACTTTTAACATCCGATCGACTATTATAATAAAAAAATAATAATAATTAAGCTTATTTAGCCAGCTCGTATTGTTTCAATATTTATGTATCGCACATATATTGAACACGTCATTTCTTTCATTCGATATATCGAGTAAATAAGTTTCTTTCTCATTAACAGGATAAATTCTGTGTTAAAAATATAGAATCATTCTAAATTATTCGTCTAAGAACAGCCATTAATAATTACAGTCTGAGCATTTTTTGTATGAACTGTGGGTCATTGGATAAATGGCCGGTATCATAACGTTTCTGCGTCATTTCATGTATCCAGGTTTTTCCTTCCACTAAAATTATTTATCAAAAGTTTTTCCTATTTTCCTGTTTCATCGTATTTACGACTGTCCGTGTCAAATTTGATTCTTGCAGAATACGGCTGTAGATTCTGTTCGCCTGCACTCGTCTGGCGCTCGCGACTTCAACCAGTTTATTTGACCTATTTTCGACGTGTTCTCCAAATATAATTTTATTCTGACGGCAGTTTCTTGTCGCGACTCTGTTTATTTCTTTGATTTTGTTTTCAACCATTCGCATTCTTTTCATTGTTATGTACATTTTCTAGGTTTCGGACCCAATCTAGATTATAAAAAATATATAGCGATTATTCATTATTTTCTGAAATAATTTACATTGATATTGCTTATTTCGTTCGTTACACTGGCTACTTTTCTGCTCTTTTTATTTCCGACATATATATAACGTTTTTATATATGTAACGGTAGCAGATTGTATATAGGCAACAGATGATTGTGTTCAAGCAGGTAAAACTAATGTTTTACCTGCTTGAACACAATCATCTGTTTTAATTTCATATTAAAATACTATTGACTAATGAGTATCTAATATTGCTTGATGCTGTATAAATACATTTCACGAATAAAAACATTAGCCTATATTTACAAACTAATTCCTTACACCAGAAGAAAAATACAACTATTTTCACATTTGAAAAACTAAAGAAAAATACATTTAACTATTAGTTATTACTAGTTTATATTGTTTATAACAAATAAACTAGAAATAAGCAATAATTATATTGAATATTTATATTGAATGTAATATGAAAGGCATCGTAGTGTCTTTATGAGACGGAAAGTATAAAATCCGATAAATCACGTAAACAAATAAAAAAGTTTCGGTTTATTATTGTGTGTAAAGAAATGGCAAAATAAACTGCGTACGTCGGAAAAGCTGAAGAAGTATTAATCTGGAATCACTTTAATAAGTATCTAGATCGAAATAATCCCGTAATACATGTCACAACTTAAATAACAATAAATCAGTGCAATAAAATAGTATGTTTTAAAAAGCACTTTTAAATATGTTATAAACAAAGCACTTTTTCATAGTTTTATTGACGAAATACATGAAATTATGAAATTTTAAACGAAATTAATCGGAATTTTCTGCCCCTAAGATTTCCATATCTGATCTCGACGTTGATTTATCTAACGACGTTCTCGTGATTCTGGAAAGACTGACAGACAGATGTCCAGACGGACGACACTGAGAATTTATAGATTTATATATTTATTTCAAATTGCAGCTTAATATTTTTGCGATCCAGTAAAAAGTGTTTTCACGCCTATTGTTTGAAAAGCGCCGAATGTGTAATGACAAATTACGATGAGAGCAACGGACACTCAACAGCTGTAGTGATTAATGTTTTATTTATACCCATTCAAGAATGTAAAATCGTTGCAGGATTTTTTATTATAACATTTAATTTGGTTTTTTAAAACAAATTCAAATGTGTAGATAGTATATATTAAATTTTATCGAATGTTTATTTACAGGATGTAAGAGACAACATTAAAAACGTTATACATGAGAGGAAGAAAACAGAATTGAATCCGTGTTGTAGCGCAGCAATTCATTCTGAAAAAGCGCGAATACAACGTGAACAAATCACTTTTGGAATGACAAGTGACACATCACATGAAATTGAAGACATTCACGAAGACACTACTTTCGAAACAGATGTGGAACCATCGACATGTTTCGATCTGTTCCCAGAAGTAAGAATCGATCGATATGAATTGAAATGTGTCTTGTGTCAAGTTAAATTTGACGACGAGGTTTCAATGCAAGAACACATGAAAAAGTATCATTGAGGAACATTTTCAAATTTAAAAAAATTGAAATACTTTTTAGTTTACGATATTTCTTTTGAGAATCTTTCGATTTTAAATATGAGTTTGAAATTTGAATGTTGGTAACAAAATAACACACGTTATTTAATATTTAAAATTATAATGATTTAAATCAAAAATAAATTACTAATAAATTCTCAATTATTTTCATAGACTTTAGACCTTTTTCTTTTTGAAAATTACCGAGTAAAATAATCTAATTCGGAATTATATGGATATTGCGTGGAGATTATATATATATTTTTTTCAAACTCAAATTAAGTGCATAAACACATTAATTTTTCAACGTTATAGAGTCATAAAGAACATTTATGCACAGAATTACTACTCTATGGTTAGCTTCAATCTCTCACACTAATGTAAACGCAAAATAATTTGATTTAAACAGAGTTTTAATATACAGCGCAATAAAACGGGGTCACACATAAGAGTGTAAGTGATTCGTACTCAGATAGTCATTTCCTAGTGTTTTGAGAAAAAAAGATCCTTACACAATCCTAACAGTAGTTGCTAAATTTGGCGAATTTGCACAATTGGGCGTCCAAACCCGAGTGAAAAAGTAGCAAGTTGGCTTTGTCGCTGAGAGTTTTGTCCCGTAGCTTTGCGATTTCTTAATGTATTTATGAGTTTTTCTACCTCTGATTTAAGAACAGATGGTTCAACTTTCCCTGTTTATCAATTCTGAAGTTGATTATTACCATTTGTTAGTCTAGTGTCTTTATAAAGTTTCACACAATACTTCTCCAGACATCCGCAATCCCTTCCGCATCAGTTATGATTTGATTTTCATTATTTTTAATTATTTGTGTGCGTGATGTGAACTCTCTTGCTAGATATCTAACCTTATCGTATAGCTGACGAGTCAAACTAAAGTATTGCATATAAAAATAACAAATACAAGCACAAACTCGAATACATGAAAAAATGTTGCAAAGGAGAAATGTGTTGGCAGTTAGTTATAACTGCCAACACGTTTCTGACACGTTCAACATTAAATAGTGTGCGTTAAACGCAAAGAATTGTGGGGTATGCGCAGAGGGAAAAAGGAAAACTTCTGTCCACATTTTTCTCAGTAACCAAAAATCAACGGAAGTACGTCACTAGTAAGAAACGAAATGTTGCGCAGTAAACCCATTTATCGTCGTTTCCGTTCTGACGAAGTACGAACCGATCCGAAGATGACGCCAAAACGGATACCAAGAAAACATCCAACGACACACTTCTTTCGATTTCTTCCTAAAAGATTTGGTTCATCAGGAAACAACTTTCAGTCATCCATTCATTATTATTGTTTATTTAATGTGGAGTGTGCCTATCCACGTCATGCAGTGCAACGAGTTTACAAACGTTCTGAAACAATTGTTTGTTTCTGCTCCACAAACTCTAAATGAAGATAATTCACGAAAGTATGAGTTTGTGAATGTTCCAGTTTTTGTGCTACCAATTTCCCAATTTAAAAGTGTACAAAAGCCGCGAAGAATAAATTTCATTTTTTTTAGCAACATTCACACATTACAGTGAATTTCATTCAACACGTTTTGCGTCGTTTTGTCACATGTCTTGCGATGTTACTGGGTTTGTTGAGGGGATACGGAATTCAGACAGGGTGATTAAAACAGTAGTCCTAGTAAGTAAAACTTGCATTTATTGACCCAGGTATTAATAATAATGAAACTGTAAGAACAAAAAATTGCTCGGATCTGCGGGTCAAAGATAGAAGATCATTCTCCTTCCATTGCATAACTTTGGTGTTTCAAATTTCGCAAAAACCATACTGGTGCTCCAACCCATACATCTAGGTGATGAGGTGGGAGTTTAGTTGGTTCCGAGGAGTTTAATAACTCCACCGGATACATTCGGCAAGCATTCGTTTTTAGATGCCAATATCGCTCACGTATGTCCATTTGTCGTTTATGTAGTGTTATCAAATTAGTATCCGGATCTTTATCATGGTCGAGACGCAAAAGTTGTTCAGCAAAATTATCTGCAGATCTGTCTTTCAATAGAAGGACTTGACTCTCGTAATTGTTGACAGGGAGAACTTTTTAATTTGATTTCACAGTTACGATGCCTTTAGGCAAACATTAAGCTACAGTCGACCACCTATAACACTGTTCATTTTTCCGTTTTATATGAATTCCATGTTGTACGAGTCATTTAGATTTTACAAATACGTGTGTCGGGCTGTGAACGGCTCACGTATTTGTAAAATCTACGCGACTCGTGCAACATGGAATTCATATAAAACGGAAAAATCAACAGTGTTATAGGGGGGTCGACTGTACTTGACAGGTTGTGAATCTTGGAAAAATATTTTACAGTTTTGGACAGAACATTAAATGGCATATTACTACTAAATTTCATCCTGATATTTTCAGTTAAATTTGAATTATGGCGATTCCATTAAATTTTCCAACTGATCAACTTTTAGTTCTATGGCGTTGCCATGGAGAGGTCAATCATGACCTTCTAGAAGTTGGTTTTTGAATAAGGCGCGATTTCTCTTGTTTGACTTAATTTATCTTAGGCATATTATATATTTTTAGAATCGTCACGTCTTAAGGAAGACGACTAGATTATTAATTTTCACATTTTAATTATAATTTTTCGAAATTTTTTCCGTTTTCTCCTTTTTTTTTTTTTTTTTTTTTTTTTTTTTTTTTTNAGAGAGTTCGGAGGAGTTGGGTTCCATATTAAAAGCACCAATGGCATCGCCATCTTGAATTAACTTATGTCTGTCAAGACTAAACTTTAAAAAACGTGAACATCACACAGATTAATATGTACTCCTAAATCTCTGAAACGGAATACATGCACCAGTGAACCTACAACGACACGATTTATATTTTAGAAATAATTAAATTCCCTTAGCATTCAAAACTTTCGAATTTTGAAAAACACAAATTTGCTGATTCACTACGGACAACCGTTTAACTGAAGTGAAACGGGTTTTCCCCTTGTTATGGATGTCTGCCTAGTTCAGTTCAGACACAATCCGCTACAGTTCGCCTTTATTATCAGTTCGAAATGGAGTGGTTCCATAATACCCGCAGTGTTCCATAATACCACCTTTTCCTCTAATAAATGATTTATAAGAATAGAGAACAGATTCAAAGACAAATTGTCCTCGTTTTGCCGCTCATTTCGTTGATGGCTATTTGGCTCCAACATTAATAATACTTACATTAATAAATCAATATTCATAATACTTCACAGTTATTTATTTCAATAATATTCCAATAAAAAATTAATTTTTGCACTTTTAAAAATTAAAAATTTTTTTAAATTTTAATTAGGTGGCGCCAATTGTTCTTTTTTAAAATAAAATTGACGGTTACGTTACATATTTGAGAAGGAAATGGAGGATGGAAGTAAAGAACTGGTAAAGTATATTTTCTATTGTAATTATTGAACGGATCGCAACTTGTTGTTTTTTTTTCGCTGTATTTTATGCAACAAAATACCTACACGTGCAATATAATATTAAATTATCGAGATCCATATGTAATTTATATACAGTATTTATTAAAAGCAAAATGTTCCTTCACGCCAACAGATACAAACACTTTACAAAGTGCTATAGAGATTCGCATCTGATTGCGTGAAATATAATCAAATAAATCGATACCGACAAGTAATTTAAGACAAGAAATATAGAGTTGATCGTCTGTGGACGGCTTTTGCGGAGTAGATTATTCGGCAACCGGAGCAAATATGCGTTCAAAATTTTGTTCGTAAACAGAGGCGTTCGAAACTTGACGTTTGACTGTATAAAGCAGGGGTGTCCAACCTTTTTGTTTCTCTGGGCCGCATTGGAAGAAGTCAAGGAGTTTTGGGCCACAAGTATATATNCTCTCTTAAATCTTTCCGTCTTTTCAGAAATTGTTTCCCTAGATTGACTGTTTATGAGAGCGGGGGTCAAAGTTCTACCTGCATATGACCACTTGTCTCTGAATTATGACTTTTCATTCGGACATTGACAGTTCGTTTAACACGTGTTCGAGTCATCCGAGACTCGTTGTCTACATTTTGTGCCGCGTTGTTTAAGTTATGGGATTTTCCTCTCCCTCTCATATTTAATCTATCATTATTTAATCATAGGAATATCGCGATTTACATGATTCGGACCTCGGTTGGGTCTTCACACCATTCTAGATTTACTTTTCCAAATGTCAATAGCTGTTTTCTTAATTGAATTGAAACTTCAACTGCTCAATTTCTGTGGGCCCCTTCTTTCTATCCCAGAATTTTTAGAAGACGCATCATCCAGTAATTTATTGACCTTTGCATTTAGCTCCAAGAGCCTGAATATCTAAATTATTAACAAGTATCTTATTACTAACTCTAGACTCCAGTAAAATAACCCGAGATTCCATAGTGTTCTTATCAAATTTATCTATCACCCGTTGTACATTATCACCATTTAATAGTTTATCGGCTTTTTTGTTTAATAATTCAAAGTTTTGTTCGATGTACTGTTGACAAGATTTATAATGCGTTCAATGCAGTTAGTTATGTAATCTGCATGACATTTAGTGCCTAGTAATGCACGCTTATTGTCCGTTATATACCCTTTGACCTCATCAAGTATATTAAAAGCGGCCGAGCGTATGTTACCTGGGGTGTTACAATGTTGTTCTGCCATGATAACACGAGAAATATAGCCTTAGGCAGAGACACAAAAGCTTAGTTCACACTGGGCGAATAGCGAAAGCGAATGCGAAAAGCGAAAAGCGGATTGCGAATTTTAAGCAGCCAATCATTTGCAAGCACGTGAAACGTCATCTCGAAAAACAAAATGGCTGCTTCCGATATCTTGTTGTTAACCACGTTTGTTTATTTATTGAGAGAAAACGATACTAAAAAACAGAAAGCGATGTCGGGTGAAAGATATTTTAAAAGACCGAGAATTATATGGTTACCATGCTAATTTGGTGCGAGAGATGAGACTAAATGACAAAGAGAATTTTTTTAGGTAAGAATGTTTATACTAATTTTTATTCTCTTTAGTAAGAAAATATATGACTAACAAAAATTTATTATAACACGTTTTAGGTTTTTTAGAATGACCAAAGAATTATTCGACAAATTGCTCTGTAGAGTAGGGCCATTGATACGTAAAAAAGACAAGAATTTTCGTAAGGCCATATCTCCGAGAGAACGTTTAGAAGTCACAAATTTGTTTTATTTCAATCGATTAATTGTAAATATCGTTTAATAAACTCAAAATTGAGTTTATTAAACGATATTTACTATTAATCGATTGAAATAAAACAAATTTGTGATTTTATATTGATAAGCAAGCAAGCATACGTGTCTCTAATATAGTTCTAGTTTGTTTAAAATTTATTTTTTGCCACCAACATAAGTTTAAAATATTTTTATTCATTGATTCAGAGAATAATTTTTACGATTAGATATAAGAAATTAAATAAGGAAATCCGTAAAAAGTAGTTCAAAAGTGGATTTAAATATAAAATTGATATTTAAAACTTATATGTTTATAGTTATATTTTAAATTAAATAAGATCTTTAATTCCGAGATCTCGGAAATTTATATAAAATATATATATATATATTTTTTAAATAAAGAAATATAATAATAGATTATAAATGCAAGTGATAAATGATTTGTTTGATAATTTTAGGTATTTAGCTAGTGGAGATTATCAAATTTCCCAAGCCTTTGCATTTCGAATGGGTAGATCAACTGTGTGCACTATCATTAAAGAAACTTGCGAAGCTATTTGGCATGTGTTGGCAAAAGAATATGTGCAGTTTCCAAGCAGAGAGGAATTTGCCAATCTTGCTATGGAATTTGAAGAACGATGGAATTTTCTTCATTGTGTTGGTGCTACAGATGGGAAACATGTACAAATGGTTTGCCCTCCAAATACAGGCTCTTTATATTATAATTATAAAGGCAACTTTAGTAAAGTTCTCCTAGCTGTAAGTGATACCAAATATAGATTTATATATGTTGATATAGGAGGATTTGGTGGAAGAAGTGATGGAGGTATATTTTCCCATTCAAGTCTTGGCAGATCACTGGAAACAGGAAAATTGGATCTTCCCAGAAAACACCCACTCCTTCAGGATTGCGAGGAAGGTCTCACCATGTCGTGCTTCTATCGGTATTAAAATGGTGCGTGAAGTCTTCCGCTTGATATCTAGAATGAAGTTAGATAGATGAAGGACGAGACCAGCTATGGAAACTTTATGGTCAAATGGCCCCGATTAACTATATATGAATTTCTAACATAAACCTGAAGTCATGTTATTTCGCTTCATAACTTTTCCCCGAAAGATGTTAGATGACCAGCACGACTCTATTGTTGAAATTTGAAATAAAAGCATGATTTACAGGTAAAGTCACTACTAATTGAGATGATTTGAAATTAGATGTTATTGTGAGCGTAGATTTGAAATTAGATGTTAAAAAAATATGATTAGACAATGCATAATGGCATTGAGACGTCACAATATGTAATTGCTCGTTTCTTTTCTATATTCTCTGTTACTTTTTTCTTTTTCGTCAATTCCTCTTTCTATAAATCGGATTTTAACGGAATAAAAAATTCCGATTGGTTTAAATCATTTATTCTTTGTTTCGCAATTGTTCACTGTTCGCGGGTGTAACAATATAGACGGCGAGACATTTGGGTAGAATTTGATATCTCATTTGTACCCTATCTCAGAATTGTTTATTGACCCTTCGCCCGTTTCCCGTATTAAGTATCTCGACTGCTATGTGAACAAGAAAATATGAAAATCGTGTCAAATTTGACTCGTTTTATGGATTCTTGAATCCAAATAAGTAAAAACACAAGAAATAAATTTTTTGGATATGTGTTTGTGTAAGGGGGTGTTTGTGGGTGTATTGGCGTCTATTTCGTTTAATATCTGAAAATGAAATGAAGATTAGAAAACGAAATTTGGAACAGTAGCTTGCGTGTGAGGTTCATTAATGGTATTAAATTTTGATGTTGAAAGCTTCGACAAGGGAGAGAGAAAAAGGTTAAGATGTTTATATTACATTTATTTATATTATTTATAAAAAAAATATTATGTATTTTCACATCCTTTACACACAATTTTGCCCTGATGAGCACAATGATAATTATCTCGTTCGTTACACTGGCTACTTTTCTGTTCTTTTTATTTATATCATATATGTAATTTCTTAATCTTCTAGTCTCATTTTCTCTAGCGTTTTACCTGCTTGAACACAATTATCTGTTTTAATTTCACAGTAAAATATTATTGAGTGATGCATGTCTGACAGTGATTCATCATATATAATGTAGCTGGGTAATAATGATAATAATAAACGTAGAGCAAAAATGATTAGGAATTAAAAGTTGCAATTTGGTACACAGTCTGGTACGCTTTGAAAATGCACACTAAGAAAAGATTTTTGGAAATTTATTCCCACGAGTAAGAGGGAGAGAGTAAATATATTTGACAAATGAAAACATTATCTTATATTAAAAAACGAATACCTTACACCAGAAGAAAAACAAAATATTTTCATATTCGAAGAACTAAAGGATCATTCATTTAATTATTAATTTCATTTCTATTTGTTATAAAAAACATATACTTCAATTTATATTGAATGTATTAGAAATGACAACATTGAGTCTTTATGAAACGATACATATAAAATCCAAACATCAAGTGTTTTTACGACCATAGTTTAAAAGGCACCGAATATGTAATGACATATTACGACGAGAACAACCGCCAATCGTAGCTGCAGTAATTAATTTTTTATTTACATACATTCAAGAATGTAAAGTGTTTGCCCACCATCGACTAGTCTCAAGATATCAAGAGACTTCCTTACTTTTTCGACTATTCGAAGATTTTAACGACCCACATGTCGAACTAGAAGTTCATCGATTCTCGGATTTTCCGAATACCCAAGGGAACCAACCTCGATTTAACTAAGGTATTTATCAACTCGAGGGCCCATGTGAACACTCTCGCGATCAGAAACCCTAAAATATTAATAATAATAGCTACTTTGTTGAGATCCTTACAAAATTGGCATCTAGCTAAGATCCTTATATAACTTATGTACAGAAACCCGTTTATTCCAATAGCAAAAATTGCTATTTGAATAAACGGGTATTATTTAATGTTAACTTTGTATTTTAATGCACTTCTTCCACCAACTGTCTCTTAGACATTCTTTATCTCGAGTCCGTGCAACCACACAGGCGACTGTTAAAGGCCATCGCGATTACTGTGTCTAATGAGAGACACAGTGGTGTCATTTCTGACGTGGCATCAAAGAGATGCCGATTCTGCGGACACATTTTTATTGCATTCAATGTCTAGAATGCCAGCATTTCAAGTGTTCCAATTAAGATCAAGCTTTAAGAAAACACTAGTTTTTGTAAAAGTTGCTTGGCAAGCAATGAAAATCGATAAAATAGTCTTCTTGTTTCATCCATGTAAAATGTTTATATTAACTTCAACAACCAATGTTTAAATATAATCTTACTTTCAATATTGTTTTTACCGTGAAATTTAGGATTTATTATTGTGATTTTGTAACTAATAAAAGTATTTTTATTAGAGATAGAGTGATGAGAAAAAGTAAGTTTATTAAACTTTAATATTTTGCAATAAATAAATATAAAATTTTTCAAAACTTTCGTGTAAGCTTAATTATGTAGTAAATAATTATCTTTAAATGTTATAAGTATAATGTAGCCTAAGATGTTCGATTCTTTAATCAATTAAAGCTTATCTATTAAACAAATACAACCAAATTAATTCTTTTGTCGATGTTTAGGTGTTTTGGTTTTCGTAAAGCAATAACAATGAAAAAATAACTTTCGAAATTTTGACTCGTTCAAATATTATTAACTTTCTATCAAATAATTTACACTAAATATTAAATTAGATGTACAATTTTTACTACAATTTCACATTTATCGTGAACTGTAATTAAACTTTTTGTACTAAATGTTCAATTTTGTGTTCATTAAAATATATCGAAATAATAATCAGATATCTTTTTAAATTTCTATATTTTTAAAATTAGTTGTCCTGAATTAATCAATCAGATGAATGGAATTTTCTTTTGTGTTCTTCTAGTGCAATTTCGTCTGGAAATTGTTCACAGCACAACGGACATTCAAATTTACTTTCTTCAACGTCCATTTCCGGAAAGAATTCCATTTGTGAGGATCTTTCAATTCGTTCAATTTCTAAATCGACGTCAACGTTTTCAAGAAATTCTTCACTTTCTTTTGGAGTAAAAAGAATCTCTTGTGAAGAAATTTCTTCAAATTCTATAGACTGTGCTGTTTGAGAACTTGTCGATGGTTGTTCAAATGCTTCTTGCTGCTGTTGTTGAACATCTTGCTTACTTTTCTGAAAGTAAATAACATAACTGTACACAATGTACTGAAATGTGAATTGCATAAAAATACGTAATTTCAGATAATTATTTACTATATTATGTATGTGTAATTCTTTAAGAGTTAGCAGATTTTTAATCTAATTAAGATGAAATATTTCTCAATGTTTTTCAATGTTCTAAAACGAACGTGCTACTCGACTTTTCGAAGTTTCTACACTCGGGTTTCGAGGCCCAGTTCGTGTGCATTCGCCAAATTTAGCAACTACTGTTAGGATTGTGTAAGGATCTCTCTTTCTTGAAACACTAGGACAGTCTTATCTGTCAAACACATACTTTCACGTGTAACCCGTTCTATCGTGCTGTTCTAGCATATTAAAACTCTGTTTCTAGGAATTTTTTTTACTTTTATGCTGGTTGTCTCAATATTGTTCATTGACAGATTGAATATAACCTCAGAGTACTAATATTGTGCATAAATGTTCTCTATTAGTCTATAGCGTTGACAAATAAATCTGGTTATGAAATTAATTTGTGTTCATACAAAAACAATATACAGTGGGTTATCGGTTAACGAACAGATCGGATAACGAACACTTTCGCGAAAGATTTTTTATGTTTGGACAACGAACACATGATCGGATAACGAACACCCCACAGAACAAACACAAGAAGAAGCGACGTAAAATAATGAATACCGATTGGTCTTCCCTTGTCTTCGGGCAACAATTCGAAACTTTTCGGAGTATAGGAGACGTCGACATCGACGCTCAAGACAGTATATACCGATCGGATAGTATTCCTCCGAACTTTAAAACTCTCCCTTGTAATTCCAGCCTTCTATTTTTCTGACAAAACAATTTTTTTATGTATTCGCGAGACTGTCGGGTAGGCACTCGTTAAGTTTTGCGTCTGTTTTTCTTTTCGAAAGGTGAGAGT